TTTTTTATGAAACTCTTAGGAGATTCAGTGGATATAGCTACACACAGGTCAGTTCACCTCAGGGGAATTTGCAATGACTACATTTCTACAGTCTAACCCTGACCCCTTACCTAAAACCTTACTACCCCACAGGCCTAAACCTTAATCCCTGATTCACCTACAGTATTTCCCACAGTGGTGATTGGGCTTTTGTCCCCATAAGGAACATGGTCAAATATTGTCTCTATAGTAACAAAAACACGTACATGTACACACACGCTGTATGTAGGCATGGGGTGCCGTTTTAAAAGCAATTTGTGCTTAAAGATTCCTGCTAAATTTTGTTACATTTAGCTTCAAACTCTGTTTGAAAAAGTAGTATAGATTTTCTAATATCACCCTTTAACAGATTTAAGTTGTTATATCTAAATTTTAAAGCTAAATGTTAAATTTAATGTTAATTGTAAATGCTAAATGTTAAATGTAAATGCTAAATGTCAAATTTAAATGTTAAATGTTAAATGTAAATGTTTAATGTTAGATGTAAATGTTAAATGTTAAAAGTAAATGTTAAATCCGGAACAAAATGGACTTTTTTTTTTTCATTTGGTGTGGTTTGCATTCACATTGTGCTTTTTTACAAACAAACTATAACTTGTAAACAAAGCCACGAGGGTGACGATCATTGCTCCCACTGGACAAAAAAGGACGGGGGCGGGACTGAGCGCACAGACCCAGAAAGAAACATGGAAGCTCTGCGTGCTGCAGTTCTGATGCGRACATTTTTGCTGATAGWACAACTGCAATAGCTTTAAAATGTCAGAAGCAGCTAATTTAATGGTGGTTTTGCGATGAAATTCTAATTTTGSAGCGACGTCAGTAAATGTGTCCCGCAACCCAAAGGYGACGAGGTGCTCTGCGTGTTCTGACCCACTACATGCTGCCAGCAGAGCTYCTAACAGGAGAAGATGAAACAGGTATGATTTCAGTTTATTCAGCTCAGCAATGGTGGCCTGTGAAGTCCAAAAAGGCGCATGTTTTATGCAGTTGGTCTGGTTCAAGTCCGGTCTGATATTAAATGTAATAATTTACTTCAGAAAACATTTATGACCAATACATTTTCAGGGTCACTCCAACACTGCTGACCAACAATATGATCCATAATTCGTACCCGCTTGTTTCATGACCAACACCAGGCAGTCTGTGTCTGCAGGGCCGGGTTGACTGGACCAGAAATTCTGGCAGACCGTCTCGTAGTAGGTTTGCAAGCAGCTGGAAAACATTTTTCACAGTTATAAATATGAAGCATCACAGTAAATACATTAAAAACATCAAGCAAAAATAAATGAATAAGATAACACAGATTGGTAATAGATACTTACACACTTACATCACCGCCCGCACCATGAAAATCCTGGTTTGCACCCCAAAAGTTACAACGAACACCAAGGTGACCCCCATGTTGTGAGACAAAGAGTCTGTGAAAGTAAATGTGACATTAAATAACAGTAAATACATAAACTTTATTTTTTTCTCTTTTATACAGTGCACATTTCATGATTCTTACTCTCGCAGAGGATTCTTCTGGCTTTTATTGGAATCAGACTTGTGCAGGTGGTGAACGGTCTCCTAAGATGATGCAAAAAAAGTAACTTTGTGAACTTACTTACTGTGAACACCGTGAATCTTGGCGTCATTAGTTTAGAAACGACCCATCTTACCAGAGTTTTCAGATTGTTCTGTCGTCTTTTCTCAAGTCCTTCTTCACGAGAGTATGTGTTGGATTCCAGAGCAACAAGTCTCTCTGAAATACACACCATCTTGTCGTTCGGCTCAGCGAGATGTAGGTGGACCTCAGTTGAAAAGTGAGTCAGCTGACGAGCCAATTTACTGTCAATAAAAAATGTATTATCAATTTACAACCAGGAAAAAAAAATTGTTTCTAAAGTAGAAGTTCAGTGAGAAAATAATAACAGCTGTACACAACAAAAATATTTGGCATTCAAATTTTGAACTTTGACAGTATAAAAAATATTTACATTAAAGCTTTTAGAACCAATCTTTCAAAAATAATTTTTAAAAAAGACCAAAAATGAAAACAAAGTACAGGCTGTTTTTTTAATTCTGCTCCCCACTCACTTCTAATGGTCCAGGCAGAAACAGTTTCTCTAAAGATGCACACGTTTCCACATCACACTACTTACATTTCAAAGCTTTGGAGTGAAATCTGGAGGTTAGGTTCCATCATCAGCCTCTGTTTCGCTCCTCGATCTTGAATGATGAGTTCGAGAAGCTTGGTGGCCCCTCTTTCTGCCCCTGCTCCTAAATACAACATAATATGGCTGAGAAAAAATATTCAGCTGGTCACACACACAACCACACATTAAAACAAGCCATGATGATTTACTGTGGGTTTGCTGTGCAAACCTAACTTGGTAAGTTAATTTTAAAGTCACAAAACACGCCCTGATTGGAGCAAAACGCGCACTGAATTTACAAAACTCCAAACAAGGATATATTTTACAAACGTACTGACTTATTACACTGTTCTAAAAGTCACTATACAAAACAGCCATTCAGTTATACARAAAATAAATATCAAAAGTAAAAACTTACTTCCTTCTGGTGAATGAGGCGCTTACATTACGAAATTCAACCAGGAGATTCCATCAAACCAACGTTACCTTTCTTTACACAAAGCTGCTCCTTCGACATCTCCTTGTGTCTCAAAATCCTCCATGGTGGTTTTATTACTCTTGTAGACCGTTTTTAAGACATTATTCCTCATATTACGCCCCACTTCGGAAAAACTCTACCGATGGTAACTTTCCACACTGAGCCYAGATCAACAAAGACGTTTCGCGGGCTTGGAGTGCCTGCGCGTGACCTAATCGTAATACCGTAATACCATTTATTGACTGAAAGCGTAGCTTTGTACCTTGTCAGATTGTTCAAACTGATGAGAAGTTATGGTAACCCCTTCAGACATGGGTTATAGCTTCTTAGTATGAAACCATTCCAGCWTTTTACTCCTCTTACGATTTTAGTGGCYTTTTTTAYTGTCCATAACAGTAGACACTAAGACTCGATGAGAGTAAAATACCATGAAATCTTAGGACTGAATGAGGCATTTTGTATTATCACACAGAAGAATTATCACACTGGTTTATCACACTGAATAAGGCATTGTAGCCCTTATCACAAAGGAGCACAAGTTTGTTTTGCACATATGAATATACTGAAGGACATTTTGTAACTGATTAATTGAATGTTAGATGCAGTATTGTATTTTGTACTTTCTGATCATTGCAGCCTTTAAGTTAAATCAGAATGAGAGTCGGTGTGTGGGTTATCTTGTGTTCTTTCTTTAGCCTAAACAAAAATGAGTAACGTTCTACATTTGACGTAAAAGGTAACACCTCCAGGGGTGTAACCAGGAAGAGCTGTACATTATAAGGTCAGTTCATTATTACAGTAAAAATAAGTTGTTGTTTTGCAGAGTCTCTGCTTAGAGCAGGGCTGCTGTTTTGTTTTGGTTTCAGCCCAAGGTCTTATGCTGAGGCCTGCTGAGTGCTGTACTGTGAACCTGACTGGAGTCAGAAAATTGAGAATAAAGTTTTAAGAAGAAATCTAGTGGATTCCTGTTTTATTCAAACATACCATTTTGAACAGTGCATCATTTCTACAAAACAACAATAAATACAACAATATGTTAGATATGTTTCATTTTATTTCATGTAAAATCTGGTAAGTTGTGCAAATTACATAACCAACAGTATTTGAGATTTAAAAACATTTATTCAAATCTTTATGAAAGAGTGCACTAATCTTTGTAACAACATCTGAGTTTTATACATTTTAAAACAGAACATTTTTATAATGGTGACACATCTCAAGGACAKTTCAACATATTGTCAAAACTGGCACAAAAGCAAGCATTTTAAATACATATGTCTGGCGATTAGAATATAACAGACAACTGATTTAAGTTAAGTAATCATGAAAAAAGGTAACAGGAAAAAGTAACCAAGCTTCRGGATATTATTCATGCTTTTGTGTTGGAGAAATGATTAAACTTGTCCTCTCCGCAAGCCAGCCTGGTTGCATGAAACTTCCTGGGTCGGTCAGGATCCTAAACAGAAAACAGAAGTAACAAATCATGAATATAAAAAAGTCAGACTCTCTGATACAACCAGAAGCTCAGAAAACATGTTTTTGCCCACCTGGATGGGGTATGCACAGGTGGGAACATAACGGATCACGAAGCCACAGCGCCTCTTCTGGGATGTGTTGGGGTCGCTTGCATGGACAAGAAGGCCATCYTGAATCTGTTAAAACAATTTTGTAAATGATTGAGGTGAGATTGTTTGTGTATCCTTTTGAAACCATATAATAATAATAATAATAATAAAATACACCTACAGACATCTGTCCAGCTTTGAGAGGACAGAACATGGCTTCGTCCACCTGCACCAACTCCTCCGGGATCTCCTGGTTGACAGACAGCATGTTTCCAAGWCGGGTGGCTTGGCGGTGGGGCAACATGCCAGAGCAGTGGCTACCTACAGGACACATAAATCCATCAGGGACAGTCTGAGCYGGACTGTGACCTATTAAACTASAAGTAAACTACWTTTTCTCRAACAATATGGTGTAAATGCTGAGMGCTGAAAGAGTGCTGAAATTTGCTAATGAAGCTAAAACTGATACTTTAAAGTTAAAACAAGAATAACAAAAAGCTAAAAGAGTAAAATGGTAGCTAAAAGTTGTAAAAGTCAGCCAAAAGCTAAAAGTAGCAAAGGACTACCTAAAAGGCTAAAAGTAGGAAAAGTAAAGTAAGTAAAGAGCTAAATTAGCTAAAGGCTAACTGAAAGAAGCAAAGGGATAACTAAAGGTATAAAAAAACTATCTAAAAGCTAGAAAAAGAAAAGGCTAATGAAAGGCTAAAAGTAGGAAAAGTAAAGTAAGTAAAGAGCTAAATTAGCTAAAGGCTAACTGAAAGAAGCAAAGGGATAACTAAAGGTATAAAAAAACTATCTAAAAGCTAGAAAAAGAAAAGGCTAATGAAAGGCTAAAAGTAAAGAAAGCTAGGTAAATGCTAAAAGTAGCAAAGG